GCACTATAACGTTGACGCTGATAAGCCTGTATATATATATGCACATTGAAACGCTATAGCTATTACCTATTAGTAGGTGGTGGATGTATATACATAAATATCAGAGCGCAAAAGCGAAAAAAACAAAGGAAAACAAAAAAAATATCAGTTCATTTCTTATCTTCTTCCTTACAGCTCACCCTGTTCAGAACCTCTTGCGTACAAGGCCGCCCACGTGGATGTAGGTTGAGCGGCGGCTGCCCCCACCCCCGTGTGTCATATCGACCCACTTGCACACAGCCAAAAGGCAAAGAGGCAAAGACAAGAGGAAGGGAACAGCCAAATAATACAGAACAGGGGGCAACAAAACAAATCCCAGATGACAAGTCCCACATGCAAGCACCGCCCCAACTCACAGGCCAAACGACGGGACGAGACCAACCAGGATATCAAAACATTCTTGTCTGCAAGAAAGCAAATAATATATATGCACATTGAGAACTGCCTGCAGAAAGGGAGAGAAGGACACGAAATGGGAGGGGGGGGGGGGGGGGGCGCTGTGACAGAGTGTTCCGTTGCAGATTCACCGATTCATCAGGAGGCTGGGATACAACATTTCGTCATTGTACACATCCCTATCACCCAGATATACGTTGTCCCTTTTGTGCCCAAGGACGCTATCAGAACTGGATGATGCCGCACTGTGATGAACGTCCTGCTGGTTTTTTGACCTGTGGACAACATGTCCGCTGTCAGGACTGTTTTGATGAGATGGTTCGTGCTAGCCGTCCTGCTGAATGCTGTGCTGGCGCAGCTCTTCTTGGGTATCCTTGTCAACATCCACATCGTCCTCACCGTAGCTGTCCTATCTGCCGAGGTGGGGACGGATAAAGCCTTCGACACTACCGACAGATACGTAGTTAAAGAAAAAAGAAAAAAATAAAAAAAGAAAAAAAGAAAAAAAGAAAAAAAAGGAAAAAATATGTTGATCTGTGGGATGTGGTATTTGCTTTGTGGCAATTGGATTATCTGTGGGATGTGTCATTTGCTTTGGTTGACTGATAGGCTTTCTTTCCCTGTCAGGTTTGGTTTCCTCCTTTTCTTTACCTCTTTTTTGCCTTTTGGCTGCGTGCAAGTGGGCGTCCTTGTGACACACGGGGATGGGGGCTGGGCAGCCAGCGCTCAACCTGTCATCCACGTGGCTGGCCTTGGACGTAAGAGGTGATGAACATGTGGGGCTTTCCTTCCTTACTCTTTTTCCGCCTTTGCGCTCCGATTCACAGTATGACAATATATACATACATTCATGTATGTGGTGTGAGCCTGCAGTCTGTAGAGCCTTCCGTCTGGTGTGGGTGAGTGGTAGTGTGCTTTGATTTTCATCATAGGTGGTGCCTTCAAGGGTACCCCCGCAAGCCGCGCCGCCCACCTCCCTCCTTCCTCCATGGGCCTGCCCCATCGGGGAAGTTGAGGTGTGCGGGCTTCCCTATTCCCTACGTCTTTCCGTAATGGTTATTACAGTATTAGCATGAAATAATTCGTAAGATTGTTTCTGGCAGTACCTAGCTGCTCGGCTAAGTACGTAGGTGGTCCCCACAACCATAGAAACTCAACGTAATTGCGGGAAAATCCAGGCCTCGGCTAAGTACGTAAGTGGTCCCCACAACCATAGAAACTCAACGTAATTGAGGGAAAATCCAGGCTTCGGCTAAGTACGTAAGTAGTCCCCACAACCATAGAAACTCAACGAAATTGCGGGAAAATTCAGGCTTCGACTAAGTACGTAAGTGGTCCCCACAACCATAGAAACGCAACGAAATTGCGGGAAAATCCAGGCCGCAGTTCGCCGGTCGTCGGCTCGCGACTGGTCGCACACATTCTGAAGATTAGCCACGAATCTGGAAACGAATCTGGACTGCGCGCCGGTTGATGGTCTGCGACGAATCTACCCGTCTTGTTTAACCGGAATAGAGCAGAGTGCCCAGGTATTATACCTGTATTTGGTGCAATTTTCGGACTAGATACGGGGATAACGCCCGAGCTTTTCTAGGGACGAAGACGGGAGGCCGTGCACGGCTGATCACACATCCTGAGTACACTCTTACCACGAATTCTTCTCTTCAGGTCAGCGGGAAATCGGGACCATCGGCGCACGGCCTGGTAGATTTTCCACGCTGTACTGGCCCTTCGAGCCGTTTGTGCCTAATCTCCGCCGACGAAGACGGTGGAGGCCGTGCAACTCAATGTGCCACGTTGCACCGGCATGCGTTTCCATGAAACCCTCCACCATGACTCTCTCTCTCTCTCTCTCTCTCTCTCCCCCTCTCGCTCTCTCCTGCCCCCCTCTCTCTCCCTCTTCCTCTCTCTTTACATGACATGCCACCATGTGTTTTGATACAACGCAACGTGCCGGCCATGCGTTTCAACGCAATGTGCTGCCCATGCATTTCAACTCCACGTGCCGGCCATGCATTTAAACTCCACGTGCCGGGCATGATGCATTTCAACTCGACGTGCTGGCATGACTCTCCCTCCCTCTCTCTCTCTGTGTCTGCCTTATGTCCACTTGGTGTTGTTGTTTGAGAGCATCCGTTGTCGCTTCGCTATGCCGTGTCTCTCTCTCTCTCTCTCTCTATTTGTCGCTGTCCCCCTTGAAGTGAAACTGTTCTTGGTGTCGAAAGAGCGCCGCTGTCTCTACCCAGAAACCGCCTACAGCCATTGGAGAGGGAGGAGGTACACAAGTACGCGGGAGAAGAGCGAGGGGTAAGCATTGGGGCAACGATGGGATTGGGATTTGGATGAATGTGGAGAGGAAGAGGACGAATGGAAAGAGCGAGGGGTAAGCATTGGGGCAACGATGGGATTGGGATTTGGATGAATGTGGAGAGGAAGTGGACGAATGGTAATGGGAAGGGAGAAGATGGCGTGGAGTTTGGATCGCAATGTAATGGAGAGGGACTGGAGGTGGTGGGTGGGGGAGTGCAAGGATAGGGGGAAAGGAGGGGATGAGTATGGCCGTTGTGGGGGAGTCGGGATCGGGGGAAAGGAGGATGGTTACATCCATTCTATTTTGCGGGGAGTATGGGTACATCCATTCCATTATGGGGGAGTTGGGATCGAGGGAAAGGAGGGGAGCAGGCGCACGAGTATCGAGCGGGGCGAGAAGGGGATTGAAGACGGGCGCGTGAGAATTCGGGGAAAGGAGCGGAGAGAAGGGCAGCAGGAGAAGCGTAGTTGGAAGGTTGGGTGGGGTCAGAAGAAGAAGGGGAGGGGCGGGTGGAGTTGGCCGGACAGGAGGGGGAGCTTGGCACGACGTGAGGGGAGAAAAGTGAGAGAGGGGGGAGGGGGAGCATATCGCAATGGCAGGAGCATGCCCAGTGTCAGGGATGGGAGGAGAGAGGGGACACAGGAGAATGGCTCAATGTTGAGGAAAGGGGGAGAAAAGAGGGGATGGAGCGTGATGCATTATCGGGGAGGAGGGGTAGAGGGGAAGGCACAAGGGGCATGTCGGCTAGTAGAGGCAGAGGAAGAGAAGGGTGTGGGGGGGGGGGGTGTTGAGCATTGCACATTGTCGAGAATGAAGAGAAGAAGATGGAGGGAGGCTGGGGTGCGCCTCATGACATGAGAGAAGAGGAGAAAGAGGCGGGGGCTGCAGGATACCGGATCGTGACAGCAGCGGGGAACCGAAGACGGAGAGGAGGAGGAGGGGTGTGAGAGGAGAGGATTTGAGATGGCAGTGGCAATGGATGACCGGAGGAAGACGACGACATGGGGGAGGAGGAAATGGGGAGGAAGGGTGTCGTAAAGGCCTAGGATCCGGGGAAGAAGAGGAATAGGTGGAGGAGCTGAGTTTGCAATGGCAGAAGGGTGGGGGAAGAAGAGGGGGGCATGGGGAGGGAGGAAGGGGATCGGAACCGGGGGAAGGGGGGTCAGGGATAAAGGGAGAAAGTAGGGGCACGGGGGGGGGGAAATGGGACGGAGAGGAGTGGACGACTACGGTCTTCCCCCGAACATAACGCACCCTAAAAATGAATCTATACAAGCTAAATTTCCAGTTCGGTACAGCCGTAATCAGGGTGCGTTGTGTTCGGGGGAAGATGGTAGGTTGGATCGAGGTGGAAGGAGGAGGGGACTGGACCGCTCTTGATTGGCAGTAAGGGAAGGGGGACAATAGCGTGTGTAGGGGAGGAGGTGGGGAAAGAATCGGGTTCTGGACTCGGAAAGGGTATGTGGCACACGTAAGTGAAGAGAGGGGGAGAGCGAGCGAGTAGAGTAGTAATAGAAATCAAAGCAACAATCCGGGGGATCGGAAGAGGGGAGGGAGGGGGTCGCATTTTGAGAAACGAGTAGTAATGGACATCGAAGCAGCAATCCAAGGGGGGGACTTCCTTGGAGGTATCTGACCGGAATCCCGCCTTGACTTGGACGCATCTGACCGCTATTACGCGCTCAGTCGAAAAAGTCCCTAGTGTGTGAGGATGCTCCGAGTGTTTTGATACTCTACCGAGAGGAGTGGTCGCTTTACCTGAAGACGATGAATGGGAGTGGAAAACAAAAAGGGACGGAGTGCACAGGAAGAAGAGCATTATGACGAGACGAGTGGTTGGGCCTCGCTGCTCCTGTGAAACATTATAAGTGTACCTGAAGGGAAGCGCGCAATGGTCCTGATACAGTCAAAGTGTTGGATCCGTTGCAGTGTATCTTGTCCCTCCCTATGGGAGTGCAGATACGTGTACAATGTTGAGTAGTGGAGCGACTCCCATTATTGGTTTAGGGTTTGGAAAATGTGTACTTGGTGGACCACCCTACAAAAGAGAGGATTCGAAAGTAAACGCAAAAAAGAAAAAAAAGTACAAGAGAAATAACTGCAAAGGAAATCCATGAAAAGAGGGTGCCATTGTTGCTTCATTTGTCGATATTCTCCCTCTCTCCCTCTCTCCCTCTCTCCCTCTCTCTCTGTCTCCCTGGCTCTCTCTCCCTCTCTCTCTCTCTCTCCCTCCCCCTCTCTCTCTCTGTCTTTTCGTTTCATTCACGAATCCGCCCTTGGTCAATAGTTGTGTGACATTGCCTAAGCCTGAGGGATTGATTCCCTGCCCGCCCCGCCTGTGACCGTTGTCTCTCGTCTGCCGGCTGTTTTCAACCCAAGGAAGCGGGCATTGACAGCACAACAGGGATGTCTGCAGCAATGGCAAACGCGTCTCTCTCTGTGGCAGCTCCTCTGCGACTCTCAAGAGCATCTAAGTTTGTCTCTCCGGGGGCGGAAGGGGCCACCGAGGTCTCCCAGGACAATTGCCCACTGTCCTTTGGAGGGGTGAGGGCCAGAGAGAGTGCTCTGGGGGCTGCGAAATGTGGCACAGCCGCTGGCAGGGGGCGGCGCGGGGATTGGGACTCGGCTCGGCAAAGTCTGAGGTGGGAGACGTGTCAATGTGAGCGAACTGTGAAGGGAGCGACTTGCCTCATGACAGCGGCACCTCTGAAGACCACCAGTGGGGTTATGTCGGTGGGTGATGGAACGCTGACTCGGTTGGGGACAGTCCCCCTAAGGCAGGGAGAGCAGAAACAGAGACACGCAGCAGCTCTCGCAGCGAGTGCAGGCGCGACAGCGGCGGCAGAGCGACCAATGAGCGGCACCCCACCATCTCCAAGTGAGTTGGTTGATTCCTTGCTGGATGTGCAGCTGTCTGCTGGGACCTCTGGGACCACTGGAGAGGACGTCTTTGTTGGGTCTCCAGGTGCCATTGCTCTCAGAAGAGAGTGTAAGGAGGCGTTGGAGGGTCTGCGATGGCCCACCAACAAGGATGAAGAATATAGGTTCACAGATCTGAGGTCATTACTGAATGAGGCCGTCCTTAGCCAGATCATTCAAACTCAGGTCAGGCAAAGCGGTAATCCGCCAACGACAGAAGAATCCCGATCTGGATTCGAGGCATTGATAGATATGCCCTGCTGCGAGCTTGAGGAAGCAAGCAGCAGCCGTGTGGTTGTCGTCGATGGTGTGCTGAGCCCATCGCTGTCTTCGATCGAAGCATTTGACGAGGGCGATGTCATTGTGGACAGGGCTTCCAATCTCTCTGAGATGGCTTACAGCCGGTTTGTGGAACCTCATCTCGGACGGCTTCACAAGAGTGTCGGCGACAGCGATAGGAAGCTCGACGTCTTTACGCTGATCAATGGCGCCGCTGTTAGAGATGTCACAGTGGTTGTGATTCCTGACGGACTGAAGCTGCAAATGCCGATACATATTGTCTACTACTCGTCCTGTGCGCGGATAGACGGTGGGGGGGTGAACCTGTCAAATCCCAGAACACTTGTCGTGGTTGGGAAAGATGCAGAGGTTGATGTCGTTGAAGAGTTTGTCGGCGACTCCACAGGAGGGTACTGGTCCAACTCGGTGCTTGAGTGTGTGCTGGAAGAGGGAGCAACGCTGCGGCATGGGTATGTGCAGGAGCAGGCTCGCGGTGCATTCCACATCAAGAGGACGGCTGTCACACAGAAAGAAGCAAGCAGTTATTCCGTGGTTGAAGTGGGCATAGGAGGACAGGTAACACGGCATAATCTCCAGATCTTTCAGCTGGGACCGGACACAAACACGTCTGTGTCAACGTTCATGCTCGCTGGCCACAAACAACTGCATGACCTGCACAGCAGCATCGTGCTTAATCAYCCTAGAGGAAAGTCCAAYCAGCTTCACAAATGCATCGTTACCGACTCCACMGGGCATGGYGTYTTTGATGGGAACGTGAGAGTSAACAGATAYGCACAGCAAACAGATGCAGGCCAGCTTAGTAGAAACCTTCTTCTAGCACCACGAGCAACAGTGAATGTGAAACCGAACTTGCAGATCATTGCGGATGATGTGAAATGCACTCATGGTGCCACAGTTAGTGACCTTGAAGAGGAACAACTTTTCTATTTCCGCGCTCGAGGAATCGATGCAGTTTCGGCTAGAAGTGCGCTTGTCTTTTCATTTGGGGCCGAGGTTTTGGAAGAGTTCCCGTACGAGGATTTAGCAAAGAGACTTGAGGGGACTGTGAAGAGAGCGCTTGCCGAGGAGGGAGTTCCAAGTCGTCGTCGTGGTGTGTGAAAACGCCGTGGCTCTGCACCATTGTTGAGGGTCATGACATTTCTGTGGTCTGCAGTTCTAGGGGAAAAAACGGCAAGAGGAGCTGGGCGAAAGGAAAGGAGCGAGGGCAGGCTGGGAAGAAACACCAAGGCTGGCTGGCTTTGGTAGATAAATACACACTCTAGGTAGATAGGTTTAAAGCACAAGTACATCCTGCTATCAGCCGTGGGCGCCTGTCAGAATCTGAAAAGCGCCGCAGGCCACGGAGTTTTTTTTTTTAATCGACGGTGCGCCTGCGTCGTCTTTTTCGGATGGCACCTCGTAGGCGACGAGCTTCTTTTCAGCAAGGCTGGGGCCGTGTACTAGCTAGCGGTTTAACGTTTTACATTCAAGGAACATATTTCTCCTTCAGATTTTGCAGCAAGGATCATTTCCATTCCACTTGTGCCGCAACCACTTCTTGTACTTTCTGGTGAATTGTCCATCCATGCCTTATTTAAGAGATGAAAATTGAAAAATGGCAAACGCAGAAATTTGGGAGAGTGAACAGATGCCGTTTTGCTGGCTTTGACTGAACAACCTGGTTGGCTGGGTAGTTGCGGCGAGTGTAAGATTGTAAATAAGTACAACAAAGTTAGTAAAAAAAAATACAAAATCTATGCTCACAAATTCAAAGTCATTGCTTGATATTCTGCAAATTGAATGGTGCCCGATAATCGCAGTAACTCTCTCAGGTTTCGTTGCTTTGGCATTTCCTTTCCTCGTGAGTCACAGGCCATATTCTGCATACCGCTCATGACCAAATGTGAACATGAAAAGTATGATGCTATTGGGATACCCTCAGCACGGGTCGTGAGAGACTTTATTAGCTGATGTGGTATTCCCCAAAAGTGATAATGTCTCATTCTCCCCCCGCGTTCAGCAACAGGTCTCGGTGTTTGCAAGAATGTGGTCATGTTCGGTGTCCATCACTTTCAGAAACAGGCCATTTTGGTAAGGAAGGACGCAGCTGACCCACATTCTTCAGGGCTTGATGTCCATCTTCTGGCAACTGCTCTTCTCATGAGGGACGGAGGGCGGTAGGGTTACTGACATGGGTGTTAGTTTTAACGGAGGCACGGGGGGGGGGTTGCTAAAAAGTACAAAATTTATGGTAGGGCCGTTTGAAGTCCTACCATCTGGCCTGCTTTCTGTTTATCGCCCTCACTGTCTCCAACACCAGCATTCATTCGGTTCTTTCTTTTTCTTTGTTCCTCATCTGCTCTTCCACATTATTTATCATGTCAACTGTCGCCTAGCCTTCTCTCCTTATGTCTCCTCCCGCTTTTGGCTGCTGATTGGCGTGGTCTCTTTTCCCTTTCTCTTCACTCTACTTTTGGTCACTCACGTCCTCGTTGTACCTGCCTTCTCTTCTCCTTTTCTTCTTCTCTCATGCAGTCGCTGCGCCGTTTCCCACCTCCTGCATTCCGTTTGGATGAAACAAAAGCCTTCAGCGCACCCCCCTGCTCATTAGTTATCTGGGGTGCCACTGAGTCTTTTCTGCCTTGGCAATGGGGGGTGTCCATCTGTTGCTGATCTGGCTGCGCTGTCATGGATGCTTCCCTGGGAAAGTGTGCTGCCTCCCGAGGAGATGGAGAGATGAAAGCTGGCAGTGTCCCTGCCTGGCGCATTGTTCTCGTTCTCCACGAGGGAGGTCGTCACGAACTCAACAGTCAAAAGTGCATTGCCTGCTTCTCCTCGGACAGCCTCCTACTTGCAGACTGACAACCTTGGGCACAACAAAGCATTAAGTGATGTTCCGAGTGTGCAACTGCACAGTCACATCCCTGTTGCACAATTGCCACCACTCTATCTCTCAATCAATGGCTCAGAATCCTCAACTGTCAAAGCCCACCTTCACTCGTTCGCGTCAACATCAGACAGAAGTCAAACTCTAGTCAAATGGCCAAATTGACTCATCACATAGTGTACTCCAGGACATCTCTCTGGTCTCTGAGTTAGTCTGATGGCAGCCCTTGACCAGCTGTGCGACTGCATGGTAAGGCAAAAGACGACTACATACAGGAAATTGCTCGATGCCAAGTGTGTAACTGTTTCCAGCAACAATTTCCTCATCCAACCTACTTCGAGTCACCTTTCTATTTCTTTCTTTCCTTTCTTTTCTGCTCGGGATCTTGTCTCTCCCATTGCAATCCTTTCAGACTACCGTCCTCACCCGAATAGAACGCCCGGTCATTATTACTGAATCTAGACTGCAACTTGCTTCAAATACAACTATAATGACCAGGCGTTCTATTCGGGTGAAGACGCCAGCCTCACAACGGTAAGAATATACAACGGTCACAGTTAGCAAGTAGCACCAGTGGATTTTTCAGAATTTAACACACTCTCTCTCTCTCTCTCTCTCTCTCTCTCTCTCTCTCTCTCTCTCTCTCTCTCTCTCTCTCTCTCTCTCTCTCTCTCTCTCTCTCTCTCTCTCACACTCTCGCTTTCCCCTCTTACCACTTGCAATCTCAACTCATGAGGTAAGTTGCATAACAGTCGTACCTGTGTGTCAATGATTGCCAGAGTACTGTGGTGAATGACATGACAATGCTAGGCATTGCAGCACTGTAGTGTCACACCAATGAAGTATAAAGCCTCGCCACTCCATTAGGGCGAGTACGTACGTACTGCATCATGTGCCTCTCTGGTTCCCTCCGGGGCTTGACGCTCGTCATCAATGCCAAAAGTACAATTCGCATCCCATTAACAAGAATCTCTTCTCTCTCTCTCTTCTTTCCCAGCATTGACTAAGCCTATTAACCTTACCACTAAACTTCACATCAAAGAGTCTTTTCTCTCTCAGCTTCTTTCCCAGCAGTGACTACGCCTAATCTTCTTTACCTCTAAACTTCAATCAATTCTCGTAGTCTCTTACCACCAGGTTTCAAAGCGATGATCAAATGGACACCAATCCAATGCTGGGTAACCCTAACGCCAGGATCTGCCACAGTACCACGAGTAGACATGATCCTGTGTCTAATAGGGATATGTGCCTGCTTTGGTGCCAAGTTGAAAAGAGCCAACGATTTGACGTCAACCTTTTTCAGCCACCAACGCAGCAAGATGAACATTTGTTTGCTCAAATTTGTTAACTGCGCATAAGTAATGATGAATCTGATGTCTGATCCTCAACTGCTGACTCTCTCGCTGCTCACTCTATATACTCTACTGCTGCTACCTGAGCTCTGACTGTGCCCCCGTCTCAAAGATGGCACCTATGCTGCTAACGTCTAGAAGTGGTGCGCCACTCTCCTCCATTTCTTGGTGAAGCAATGATAATCCTTGTCTATGCCGAGCCCCCCCCATGGATTAGTCCTTTTCTGAACTGGCACTGCCCCCGAGTTCCAGCTATGGTGGCTTCCCAGCCTTTTCAGCAAAGACCGGATGTGAGTAGTACTACTAAGTGTACCGAGTGCTCCAGCAAGTCCTGAAGTGAAACACGAAAGAATGATTGCCAAACGAACACCCTGATCCACATATGCCACTGGGAACAAAAAGAGACGGTACAGTCACTGCAGTGGAAGGGCATTTTGCATGTTAATGGGCGTTTATTATAGTCTCAGCGCGTCATTTTGTACTGCAGTTTGTGATTGTGGTGTGAGTACGCCCCATCTATGGGCCGGGGAGTATTGTAATGGTTAACTGTTGCTGCTTTAAATTTCCTCCAGGGAAATTGTTAGTGGCGCTTCGCAGGGGTGTTCATTTCCACGTTGGAATAGAATGAAGCTTGAATAAAGATGATGAAACCGTAGGATGTCCCATAAAGTCTCTCTTGGTGTTTTGTGCCATGATTTAATCTGTGAAATGAAATTCTCTGCCACTGTCGTATGGTGATTGAATGATTCACATCATCATGATTCATACCACTGTCTTGTCGTCAAGCATTTTATCTTATCCGCGCCTTGTACTATTATTTCCTGGGGATGGAGTAGGGGGAGGACAGTTCTACAGCATACGTGATCCGTTTGAAAGAACGTCTGAGTATTGGTTAGAGTGCTGGTCTGTCACGCCAGAAGTCGCGGGTTCAAATCCCGTTTTTTCCCGGGAGGTATGGCTGAGGTGCTGAAGGCATTGGTTTACTAAGAGGACAGTTCTAGAGCATATGTGATCCGTTTGAAAGAACGTCTGAGTATTGGTTAGAGCGCTAGTCTGTCACGCCAGAAGTCGCGGGTTCAAATCCCATTTTTTTCCCGGGAGGTATGGCTGAGTGGCTGAAGGCATTGGTTTGCTAAATCAACGTACAACAATGTTGTATCATGGGTTCAAAAATCCTGTTTCCTCCATTCCGTCGGGGGCGTAGTTCAAGTGGTAGAATGCATGTTTTGCAAGTGTGAAGTTATCGGTTCAAGTCCGATTGTGAATTGACTCTGGGTTTTTGTTCGGACTCTTCACGTTAGTCTCTGAGGATCCTACACAGACATATGTTGGTTTCCTGCGGATTATCCATTGCATATTTTTTGAAATTCATTCAATAAATAGGTTAGGACTTTCCCGCACATACTGAAGTAATAAGGTCAGATATTACTCGTCCCCCCCCACGAGTTGGTAAGGGATATTAAATTATGTAGGAAAACTTTCTTTGGACAAAATGGATGAATCAATTCTTCAGTGACTGTGCATCCAAATGTCTCATGATTCTACTTATCTGCCCTCGTTAGCACAAGTCAAATAGTTCATCTCTTTTCTTGTCAATTGAGCAAAGTTGCCCTCAGGGTCTTGTCCGGTGGCCACCTTTAACAGGCAGGTGAGAAAATGGCACCTTTTGTCCCACCTGCCTGTAAAAGGTGGCCGTCGGACAAGACCCTGATGGGAGCTTTACGGAATCGACAAGAAAAGGGATGAACAATTTGACATGTGCTAATGAGGGCAGATAAGTAGAATCATGAGACTTTTGGATGCAGTGTCACTGAAAATTCATTCTTCCACCCCCTATAGCCTCTCACCTCCGCACCCCAATATCCCCACAGGGCCCACACCCCCCATAATCCCACACCTCCAATACCCCCGCACCAACTACCTCCACATTGTCCATACCCCCACACCACTACACCCCTACACTAGCCATACCCCTCACCGCCAACGCCCCCGTAACCTCACAACCCCCACACCCCCCTCGCCCCCATGATGCTCCCCAGATCCCATATACCCTCACACTTCCATGCCCCCCGCCGCCCCCCCGACACACACACACACACACACAAAAAGACAATTGGACTCACTCTCCCACATGTACCACCCACCCCAAACACCCAACCCCTCATCACTCCCCTCCCCAAATACAGCCCACACCCCTGCTGAACCCAAAAAAGGAAATTTTGCACCCTATCTCCCAACCCTAGGCCCCCCTCAAAAAGATTGCACCCTCTCTCTCTCTCTCTCTCTCTCTCTCTCTCTCTCTCTCTCTCTCTCTCTCTCTCTCT